AACGAAATCGGACGATCGGTACTACTGGGTCTCCGGCATTATTGCTGGAAAATATGCGCGTTTTATTAGCTCGATCTGGTATAATCAGCGACAATCAAGTTTCACGGCTGTGATTGGGTTGGAGCACCCGATGCCAAATACACCTGCATATGCATGACGCAATCTCGTGTCCACATCCGCGCCGCGCCTGGTCCGATTCCCACCGCGGTGTGTCATTACTCGTCATTATCCACCTATCAAATCGGTCAGCAATAACTATCTGACCGTTACTATCCCGTTCGGGACCGACGCCATGAGCCTGGCTTACCAGCAATCAACGGCAGAGCACAGAGGGCTCTCTTCGATTTTAACGTATCAGTTGCGCAACGCGTCTCATTGGGAATTAAAAAGTTTCACGGAAACCACGTGGTACCGGAAACGTCATCCGACCGGATGACATCGAAAGATCAAAAGTGCAGGATTCGAAAAAAGATTTGAGAACACAAAATACGGTACGGAGTATGTAAACAAGTGACTATTTCGACAAGGGGGATGAAAAATGTAGTTTCAAAAAAAAAAAATAATAAATGGGGTGCAGTGGAAAACAAAGCACAGCGCCAGGGGGATAATCAGTTTTAGCAACGAGTGGAAATATGAAAATTAACCTCTGCCGCGGAAAAGAGGGATTCGTCGTTGCTCGTGGGTTGTTGCCTCGATGATTTGTCATCCGTCCAAATGATCCCGAATACCTTTAAACGGGACTGTGGCAAAAGGCAAATCGATAAATTGCGCGTCCAAGCGCACGTGGACGTGCACAGTCGCCACGGACACTGCGCGCCGTTTTATATTTCGCTAGTATATAAATTAACTGGACGAAGGAATGGGACGACGACGGGACGGCTTTAGAGGTTAGGACGAAATGGGATAGAGCAACGGAGTCGCTATAGGGACGGAGCGTGTGGCTGTTATCACTGGCGAAAGCGACTCTTTCCATAGTGCTGCAAATGCTTTAAATTAATAGCCACACGGGCCGGTAAGTATGCGGCCACACTTAAAATGCCCGGAACGCATTTAAAACGTAGCGGTTTGGAGTCCGACTGTAGAGGACGGCAAGTGGCGGGAAAACATTTTAAAAAAAAAAAAAAAAAATGCCTAGAGCGAGAGAGAGAGAGAGCTAGAAAGCAATACGAGTATTGCCATTGCCGTTTCGTTAACTGGAACCTGGAGCGTCCATGCTGGACGCCATTAAGTGCGGAAGCGTGGACCGCTCGTAATTTTCTAAATAATCGCACATGCGTCGCGACGACTATGGAATATTTCCATGGAATACGTAATTGCCCGGTTGAACCGTTTCGGCAAGACGTCGACGGCAATTTCACCCTTGTTCCAGCATCCCCTTACGGACGTGTGAATATACGTAATATCTAGCTATCCCCGCAGTACAGCCGGATTTCTATTTAAAGTGTCAGACATGTCCAACACCAGGTGCACACAAAGGTCAGGATTGCGACGTCCCTGTCGTCGCTCGGACGTCGTCACGGATCTCGTCGTCGTCGTCATTCTCAAACGCATTATCCTCTAAACTGGAATAAGTGGAGGGCATTATAAATGCATGACGAGCCTCCCCTAGGGGATAACGCGTGACGGATGAATCCATTCTCGACGAGGACGCCGTTCAAGAGCGCCTGGCGCTAAGCGTACGAGACGTCGTTACCGGAATCCGCGCTTCCCGCGTTCATCCTGCCGGATCAGCCGTTTGTTGTATTCGACTGGAAAATAAATCACGTGGGTAGGCAGATAAACAGATAGGCAGGTAGGTAGGTAGACAAAAAATAAATAAACCTACCTATGTCTATTTTACACCTACCCTGTACCACCTCAGACAATAACACCAGGGATATGACCCTGTTCCTCTCATCCCTTCCGCAAAGCCTCCGATTCCACAGCTTCAGTCTCTCCAACCAGTGGATTTGTCGATCAGGCGTCCCGGCGTCATCCCCCTTAATCTGCCTGTTCCCCCTTTGCAAAGGTATCAGCCCAAAATGCAAAAATGTCATTAGGGTGTAAATATACACTCCCGCAGATCCGTATTGACCTGGAACATTCACATTTTTTTCTACTTTACTCCCTTCGATGGATGCTCCCGTTAAGCGCCAGTGCTACCACCGACGAAGGGTGGCAAGTGAAATAGAGAGTACCCTGAAAAGTTGCCTCATATAGGGAATACGTTGATTTTTTAATTTTCAAATTTTTTTTTAAAAAGTACACCATCCAGGACCTCCCGAGCTTCGAATGCATAATGCATCGGCAGTGGTCCGGACGGCGGTATAAAGAGTCGGCCGTCGGCTGGGAAGTAAGGTCGTTTCAGATTTGAGGTTTGAGGTTTCCGCGTGCAGGCACGACCGGATGTTATTGGCAGCGTAGTGGAGCCATTAGTCGCAATGATGGATGCCTGACAGGAGCGGCGGCGTCCTACCCTGGCGGCAGTTATAGTAAGTAATGGCTTCACTCTGTGCTCTGAGAAAGCCACCCCAAACCCCGCTGTCCTTTCCTACAACCTCGTCCCACCACCCCCTCTCGCTCCCACTCCGTAATAACAACAAATCTTGCCTATATTAATTCCCTGACGGGCATAACTCTCGGTATATGGACGTTAACTCAGGAAAAATTGCACGATGAAAACGTCGCCCTTGCGAAATACGAGACTCGTATTACGTACGCACTTACGCC